GAATAATAATAATGGTGATGATAATTTAAAAGGCTTGTTACGAGACCCGCGGCTGGCGGCGTCGGCGCGCGAGTCAAGCCGGGCCTCCCCCCTCCCCTCAGCGCTCTTCGCCCCACCTCGCGGACGGGCGGGGAGAGGGGAAAGCGGGCGGAGCGGCGCGCGCGGATTGGGCCCTCCCGCCCGCCGTCACGCGCGCTCGCCCCCCTGGCCACGCCCCCCTCGCCGGCCCCGCCCCGTTGAAGGGGGGAGTCGCAGCCGACGGTGACAGGGAGAGGGAGAGAGTCTGGCCTGGCCGGAGCCCCGCCTTTCTCCTTACGTCACGGGTCGCGGGAGGAGGGGGAGAAGGCGGGGCTTGCCTCCGCTTCTCCTCCTTCCTCTGCCAGTCGTTTCCTAGCAACCCCCACGAAGGACGTGTTCGGGGAAGTCGTCCTCGGACGGCGCGACGCGCGGGAGGAGGGGGAGAAGGCGGGGCTTGCCTCCGCTTCTCCTCCTTCCTCTGCCAGTCGTTTCCTAGCAACCCCCACGAAGGACGTGTTCGGGGAAGTCGTCCTCGGACGGCGCGACGGAGGGGCCAAAAAGTATCCGCTTTGGAAAAACGAACTTTCCTTTTTCTTTTTTAAAGTACACTGTAGGCCCAGAGTTTGGGGAGGGAGGGGACGTAAACGTTCCCCGGGGAAAAAGCCGGAGAGTGGAGGCTGGAAAAGTGGCGCATGCGCACTCTGAGGCTCCCTGAGGCCCTTTCAAGTTGTGCAAATGGGGGGAATAGTCCTGCTCTTTCTGGGTTGCCATCTCCAGGTGGGGAGATGCCTGGAGATTTGGGGGTGGAGTCTGGGGAGGGAAGGATACTCACCAGCAATGCTCCCTCTAAGCTCTGGAGTCTTGTGAGCAAAAATTCCGCTTTTTGAGCTACTGGCATGAAAGTTGAGAGCCAGCGATTTGGCTGCTGCATTAATGAGATTGCTCTGGAGCCCTCCTTCCTGAGCTGAGACAAAAATGTGTGAGCCGGAGGCTAAGAAAGCTGTGAGCTCGCTCACACTAACTCTGCTTAGAGGGAACAGTGCTCACCAGCAGGCCTCGGTTCCTGCCGGAGCGCAACAGAGCACCGCTCCGCCAGTCAGGAGCCCAGGGGGCGGGCACATAAGCCCCGGCCCCTGCGCCCACCAGCCATCAGTTGGGCAACCACCGGGCAACCCACCAGCCATCAGTTGGGCAACCTTGGGGGGCGGGAACACGTTCCTCCGCCTCCCTGAGCCCCGGGGTGGTGGCCTTGGACTTGTAGGGGAAAATTCCACCTCTCGCCTGTGATGGACATTACACGTGAGAGGTCATTCTGGCTCTCCCAGCTCTCCTTCGGGCTCTTAAAAAAGTTATGGCCGCTGCAGCTGCAACCACCACGGGGGGAGTGCTGAGCTGAGCTGCCCTTCCCGCCTTTTTCCCACCATAGCGAACAATGGAGGGATGGGGGCAACCTGTTTGGGGACACTTGCCATGGAGTTTGCCCTCTGGAGTTGGCTGTCTCCTCCAGGAGAACTGGAGATTAGTTGTAATTTTAGGGAGACATCCAGGCCTCACCTGGAGGTTGGCAACCCAATGACCTTCTCTCACTGGTAGCCGTTCAGGCAAAAGGGGGAAAGGTCTTTTCTACCACCCAAGGTCCTGAGCTTTAAAAGAAGCGTCACAGCAAGCAATGATTGGGTTTTTTTTTCATATTTCAAAAAATAATTTTTATTCTGCCCTTTGATTTTTAGGTACAATCCATGTGTAATACAGTTTTTTTTTTTAATTTGTGCACAAATACACTTCAGCCGCTACAAAAGAAAACACATTGTTCAAGAGCGTTCCCTGCTATTCGTGGGTTAATAATGTGTTGTGAAATGTAAATCATCTTAATTTTATAAAGAAACAATTTAAATGAAAGCGGATTAATACACTACATCAGAATGATGTCAGGAGAAGCAGCATCGGACAGCGTGTGTGCGCCGTAGCAAATACTGAAAAGCGCTTCCGAGATTCTCGTCCACATTTCCTCTACAGGTTATGGAATTCTGAATTGCCTGGCCTTGTGCCTGGAAGTAGATCCAATGCCTTTGGAACCTTCCACACTTCCAGTTTTTTATTTCCAGATTTTGTACAGACTGGAATCCGTGTGTGCCATTTCCC